ACACAACATTGTTCCAGGAAGATGAAGCATCGTGTCACACTGCTAGAAACACCCAAAAGTGGCAGGAAGAAAATGGTATCCAGAAGTTGCTCTGACCGAGCCAATCTCCTGACATGAACCCCATCGAAAACCTCTGGGCCATACTCGACCGGCAAGTCAAGAAACAACCAAAAAACCAACTTCGAAGAGCGATCTACTCTCAGTTTTGAAGCAAGAGTGGGCGAAAATCCCACAATCTAAAATTGACGAGATGATTCTCACGATGCCCCAAAGGATCAACGAACTCTAGGAAGCGAAAGGAAGATCTACTAGATATTAATTAAATTATAAATATATCAATTCATGTGAATATGACTCAAAATTTTCATTTTTTCCGAAAAGTTGGTGTCTATTTACTTGTGACCACACTGTGTATATAAATAATGTCTTAAAAGTAATTATACTTGTCATAAGACATTAGTATTAGGCCTACTATATCCCAACACTACATTTTTTATTCACCTTAGTTTTTTCAGGAAAAGAATTTATGATAGTATATCAACCACACTACCCCCACCCAGTGACTCAGCGGTAAGGTAATTCTGAGGACTTCGGACTTCTACCGTTAAAAATGGTACCCGCAGTGGGAAAAGTACAGCTAGTCCATTATGTCGCTTTGTGATTATATATAACAACAAACAAATAAGCATGTCACCATATAATATATTCAATATGTGTATATTAACTATTATTCCATTTTTCTACAGATCTGTATGAAGAGCGAAGATTCACACAGTCGAATTTAGCAGTTGACAATTTATATGACTAATATTTGATATAGATTTAAACATGTTTCCTCTCTTTAGTAGTGTGAACTGTTTGACATACAGTTTTGTGTGTATTTGATTTAAAAGTATCAGCATGCATTGTTTGTTTGTTATTAATTTCCCGCAAAGCTACACGAGGGCTATTTGCACCAGCCGTCCCTAATTTATCAGTGTAAGACTAGAGGGAAGGCAGCTGTCATCACCGCCCACCGCCAACCCTTGGACTACTATTTTATCAACGAATAGTGGGATTCACCGTTACATTATAACGCCCTTCCCCCTCCTCCCGCTTGAAAGGGCGAGCGTGTTTGGTGGGACGGGGATTCAAACCCGCGACCCACAGATTACGAGTCGAGCCCCCTACCCTCCTGGCCATGTCGAGCCTATCAGCATGCAAATACAATCGGATAGATGGGTAACATGGCATTATTTGAGCATTCGAAAAATTCTTAGTTGAAAAGAGAGATAAGACACACATACACATTTAAAAGATGTGTGTGTGTATTTATACATATTTACTATTTCTAGTCATCACCATCAGAACAATGAACACTGGGGAAAGAAACCTCGCCTTTTTGACACTATTAAATGATTAATACGCTTCAATAGTCTCAGTGACAAGAAATTTCGGCCAATTTTAAAGATGATAGCTTCTTCAGGTGAACTTCAATCAACAATGGAATTTGCTAAAGGAAAGTGTCATAGACCAGATTTGTTTGTATAAAGATCATACTGTGAACTTAGAACTAAAAGTCAGTTATCACAATAATTGTTTGACAAAATAAACATTGAAGAAGATTCTAGCTTTTTAATGTTCTAAACGTTAACAATGGTCCACCATCAACGTCAAGCCGCTCGTCAAGTCAAAGTAGACAGAAATCATCATTCTTCATCATGATAAAACTCGTATTTATTTGTAGTAAAAGTGATAATAAAAATGATGCTATTTGCACACACTCGAGCGATTATACAAGGCAGAACGTTTTGAAGGATGCTGAAACAGATGAGACTGTGAGACTAGGGATGATGTCTACTTTAATTTCTTTGCATTTGATCCAAATTACCTCATATCATGTTATGGTCATTATGTGTCTGACAGGAATATCCAAGCGACCATTAAAAAAAAAAACTGAGAAAAGGAACAGTCAACATTTCAGAAAGTGTGGTACTTCAGTTTAAAAACTGATTCTCTGACAAGCATCAGACAGGCTAACCGACACATCTAACCAGAGAATGCAGACAAAAATACCAAGAAAACACAAGGAAACTGAAGTTGACATACAGCATGAAGAAGCAGAGGAACTCCAGATCGAACAGAGAAGAAACTTTTCTTGGAATCCTCTCACTACAGATACGGATATGTGGATAACATCCGCGGAATTTTTTCACGTAAAAACCCAACAATCTTCGTCCGAACTTCTCAGCGACAATGACGACCCCGACGACGAATACGACCTAGCCTTCCTAGCCTGACGACGCCTTTCCAGGGTCTTAGCATCTGTCGATAATTGTTTGCAATCCACATACGTCTACTAATCCTTGACTTTTTCTATTTGGGGACATTTCGAGGAAGATTAATATGGCGCCTGGCCCATGAAAGATGACTTTTTCTGGGTACTCTCCTTTCCTCCCACCGCAAATTTTCTCGGACATTGGACTTAATTACACCTCCCTCTCATGAAAAAGGCATTATTTTTAGCCCATAAAACTTTTTTTACCATACAAGTCCGTAAGACTAATTTCATTTTACTCTATTTATTTTATCTTTTCACGGGTTAGTCCATCAGACTGTTTTCAGTTTTAACTAGTTAGTTATGTAGTTATGGAGCTGGTGTGCTGGTCACAGTCTATTGATCTTCCACGTCAAGTTATCACACAGGTCGGTGTGCTGGTCACAGTCTACTTATCTTCCACGTCAAGTTATCACACACGTCGGTGTGCTGGTCACAGTCTACTGATCTTCCAGTCAAGTTGTCACACATGTCAGTGTGCTGGTCACAGTCTACTGATCTTTCACGTCAAGTTATCACCCACGTCGGTGTGCTGGTCACAGTCTACTGATCTTCCAGTCAAGTTATCACACACGTCGGTGTGCTGGTCACAGTCTATTGATCTTCCACGTCAAGTTACCACACACGTCGGTGTGCTGGTCACAGTCTACTGATCTTCTACGTCAAGTTATCACACACGTCGGTGTGCTGGTCACAGTCTAATGATCTTCTACGTCAAGTTGTCACACACGAAGGTGTGCTGGTCACAGTCTATTGATCTTTCACGTCAAGTTATCACCCACGTCGGTGTGCTAGTCACAGTCTAATGATCTTCAACGTCAAGTTATCACACACGAAGGTGTGCTGGTCATAGTCTACTGATCTTCCACGTCAAGTTACCACACACGAAGGTGTGTTAGTCATAGTCTACTGATCTTCTACGTCAAGTTATCACACACGTCGGTGTGCTGGTCACAGTCTGTTGATCTTACACGTCAAGTTATCACCCATGTCGGTGTGCTGGTCAGTCTACTGATCTTCCACGTCAAGTTACCACACACGAAGGTGTGCTAGTCACAGTCTACTGATCTTGTACGTCAAGTTATCACCCACGTCGGTGTGCTAG